CTGGACAGGGGGGTGTGGTGAGGGGGGGGGTTGGTCTCTTCTCCCAGGTAACCAGCGACAGGACGAGAGGCAGTGGCCTCAAGTTGTGTCAGGGAAGGCTCAGATTGGATATTGGGAAAGGTTTCTTTACTGAAAGAGTGGTCAGGCATTGGAACAGGGTGGAGTCCCCATCCCTGGAGGTGTTCAAAAATTGTGTGGATGTGGCACTTGCGGACATGGTTTAGCAGGCACGGTGGTGATGGGGTGATGGTTGGACTTGGTGATCTTGGAGGTCTTTTCCAACCTTAATGATTGTATGATTCTGTTTCAGCAGATTCCCCCGTTTGGCTGAGCAGCCCTTGCCAAAGAGGCACAGCTACCGAACATGGGGCAGATTGTTGTCCTGGGATATTTACTTTCATCTCTAGGCTGATTCCCCGGGGCGCCGGGGCTGTGGTCACTGCCCAGAGGTACACATTTAGCTCTGGGCCGTAGGGCACCGAGGTGTTGTTACGAGTCCTGGCATGCCCTGGCAGCACCTTGCCGTTACAGGGCAGGTCATGCATAGGGCTGGGCTGCTTTGGGGAGGTTTCTTCCCAGCGTGTGGTGGTTTCTTCTTTTTGTGCCTCATGAAATGGCCAGGTGCCAGAGCCCCTACTGCTCAGCTGTGTCCCCTGTGTTGTCTGCTCTTGGCTGCCGGAGCTCATTTAGTGGCCTCAATAAGCTGTCCTGCTTGCTTGGCTTTGGATGTGAGAACTGTCACTAACTGAATACTGAAATCTGCAAGGCTGCGTGGGACGATGGAGTGTTTTGGGATAAGTCCTCCGCTGGAAAAAGGAGAGGAGGCACCCCCAGCTGCTGCGGTGAACGGGGGAGTTGCCACAGAGCTCTTGTCACCTAGAAAAGAGAGGAGGAGGACGGAAGGGGAACCCAGCTTTTATGGGAGGTGGTGGACTCACATCAGTCATGGGTGTGGAATATTTCTGGCTATGGGAAGTCAGATTATGATCTCTGACATTCTCTCGTGACGTTTTTTCCATGTCCCCATATGGGAAGTTCCCTGTTCAGCTTTGCTGTGTGTTTTCCCTTCCTCGTTCTGTGGACGTCACTGCGCTGAGGCGGGTTTGACACATTTTCCTCCCTGTCCCCGGACCTGCCGCTCCTAGAAAGGATTGTGCAAGGCAGAGGCGGTGGAGGTGGGCCAGAGCTGCCGAGCTCCGACTTGGGCCTTCAGAGAATTTATCTCTGCAGAAGCTTACCAGCCTTAACCAGTGCAGAAATGAACATGGGGAAATCCCAGCCCTAGTAGGGCTGTCTGCTGCCAGCACATTGCTGAGCAAAAATTGCAAGACTCAACACTTCCTCTGTTAACTCTTGGTAGAAATTGGTTTCCTTTCTTGAAATCTGGCGTGTTTGGCTCTCTGAGACATGCAAGCCACTGCTTAGATATTAATTTTCACTTCCCTCTTTCATTTTCAAGCTTTATAGGACTGATTTTCCTTTGCCAGCAAAAATTTTGGTTGTTTAGTCATAGCCAACTAAAATTCCAAGCTAGTGTAAGGACTAGGTAGGACTGTTGGTATAATTGCTGGCTGTCTTTTCACGGCCAACGTCATCAGCATCAATATTTCTGATGTATCCAGTAGTCCCTGGGATCACAAGATACGAGCTGGTGTTCTGGGAGGCGCTGACTTCCATCACTTCCAAATTTGAGAGTCCTCCCTGCTTGGTTGTTGCCCCGTAGTTGAAGGCATTGGCACTGCAGCGGTCACATCAGAGGTGTGATTTGAGGCTCCCTCTTGCCTTGGGCGGGCAGCGTGCCAGTACGGACACACTGGAGAGCTGTGGCACAGAGACATTTGTGCTGTGAGTCAGCTACGGCCTGGTTCGTGGGTTCATTTCCTGGCTGCCTTCACGATGGCGTTTCACATGGTCACGTCTGCTCAGCTGTGCTCTTGAATTCGGCTCCCCCTCCTCTCCAGGCTGCTCTAGCGAAGGGGCCAGGTCCTTCTCCTGGAGGAGAGGGTGTTCTCCCCACGGGGAGCCTCGCCCCACACCCCTGCTCGTGGGAAGAGTTTGAAGTGAACCTGGGGAGCAGATGTTTCGGGGGAAATACGTGGCATTTTCAACTTTGCCTTTTCTTCCTGTTTAGTTCCTACGAAAGTCAGAGACAGCTGTGGAGGAAAGATGTGCAAAGGGGAAAAGGATGTTGAAACACAGAGATTACGCTTTCTAGGGTGCCATAGTAGGTGCTGCTTGCCTGGCTTCTGGTTAGAACGTCCTTCTTTAACCAGCTGACTGTTTTGTGCGTGACACCTCTGTGTCATGAAGAGCAGCAGGTGGAAGAAGAAGTGACGGTATGCCCAGGACATAGCAGATGCCCTGAGAATGTACCCAGATCACATGTAACTGTCGCGGTCACTTCTTTATCAGAGGCTTGGAAAAAGAACGCCCTCTTTAGCGAGGGATTCTTTCCGTAAGAAATGGCTGTGTAGAATGGTATTGTTTTTCCTACTCAGGAATCACTGCCTAAACCAGGAAGCTGTTTGTTTGTTTGGGTGAGCCATATTTTACCAGCTGGTGTACAGAGGGCAGTGCTATCTGAGCGGACCTTTGCTAGGGTTTGTTTCCCTCTTGTCAGGCAGGTAGGATTTGTGCTAAGGTGACCTTTTCTAAAGGGACGGTAAAGATGCTAAGATAATGCCAAGTTATTCTGGAAATGTACTAAGTAGCTCAAAATGAGAGTTTTCAGGCACTTCTCTCCCTCTACTCACGCAGTGTGCAGGTGTGTTTCTCCACAGAGCTCAGTATGCTGAATGGACTTTGGGACTTGAGATTTTTTTAAAACTCTGCTTAAGGTTTCTTAGTGCTTAGTTGCTCGTTTTAAAATCTGCCTGCAGGGACTGTGCTGTGCTTGGCTGAAGAGTCCGTTTTCCTGGCCAGTGCAGTTAGCGTTTGTGATCTCGAGCTGTCTAGAAGGGCTCTGCTGGTGGCCTTCTCAAGATTAGCTAGACATTTCTTTGTGTCATGTAAAAATGTGATTTTCCTCACCCTTCAAGTGCATTGTATTTGTACGCTCCATTCCACTTGCATCGTGTTTGTGCCGTGTATTAGGAACTGGCAGGCGTTTATTTTTATTTTCAATGCAAGAGTTAGGTAACTGTTCACTGGTGAGCACTGGGTTGGGAACAATGGTGGCCAGCCCATGTTGTTTCTCTGCCAACTGTGATTTTTCAATGGAGAAGGGAACTGACACACCTTGAATGTGAGAATTCATTGCCCAGAACAAATGTGTGGCTCAGCGTGTGTTTTATTTTTCTTCTGCTTCTCTCACTTGTAGTGAGGTTTCAGGAAAGTACATTTCAGTTGCGCATTTTTTCTCTCTGGGCCCATTTGTCCTGGCGCTCTCGGTGGATGTGATATACCCACAATTTTTCTGCATTGTTCCAGAGTGAGGAGAATATCAGCATTTTGAGAGGGGGCATTTCAAGGACAAAATGAAGCAGGCTATTTTATGTCATGGGTTTACAGAACCGTATTATGATTTTTGTGGCTACATTTCCTCTCCTGTGAATTCCCTTGAGATACAGTCGCAGAAGGTTAGTGTGTGGGTGAGGGAGGTGGATCTACACAATCCCTTTGAAAGTATCATTAGTAAAGTTAAGTAAATTTGTTCTCAAGGTTGGAATATACCTTAGGGTCGAGTTTATTTTTCTCTTCTGTTTCCTGAAGCCCAAGATTTCTATCAGTTTGCTTGAAGGATTGTGTGTGCAGGTGTGACTTTGATGGACAATGTGCATGGTCCCTGGGCCAGGTAGGCAGACTGGCTCCTCTCCACTCTATCAAAGCAGAACTTCCCCAGGAGGGAAAATGGTGTCCTGTGCCATGCAAGGGGACTTTTTGATGGAGGGGAGGTGCTGAGGGGTATGACAGCCAGGAGGAGTACGGTGTAGTGTGCTTGTTTCAAGAGGAAGTCAACAGGCAAGTTCACACTGTTTGTAGCCACAATACAGACAGCTGGTTTTGAAAGCGCCTTTGTGGTGGCTGCTTTACCTGGAAAGAGGTGTAGGGGTGTCGTGGCCACAGAAATACAGCTGCTGTTTAGAGGGTTAGGGAGGAGTGGGGTGCTTATGGCCACCTTGCGCTGCTGAGGGTGTCTCCTGGCTGGCAGATGTTGTCCTGGTATGGACCTGTCTTTGCACATTCGACCCAGCCCACGTGCTCTTGTTCTGCTCCATCTTCTGCTGCCCGTCTCTGCTGGGTGTCCACTGGAGCTGGGCTCCCCAGCTGCACCAGGAGTGGCTTTCATCAGCCTCTCTGTGTGATGAAGCGAGGGTGGTGAGGAAGGGTAGTAACCCAGCCCGCAGTGCAGAGCCCTCCGTTGCGTCCTTGGTGGCCTTGGATGCTGAGGTGAACTAGAGGGTTGGTGATACATCTCTGTCTTGAGCACAGAGGGTCATGTGCTACTGGAAACTCCACTACAGCCTCTTCCAGGCTGGTTCCTGCCCTTGCCTGGATGTATGCTGTCTTCAGGTCTTATTTTATTTTTTTAAACTGGGAGCAGAGCTCCATGTCACTTCATATTATGCCAGCTGGCTCCACAGCCAGTTCAGCACGGTGCTGCCAGGAGATTCTCTTGCCAGCAGTCATGTAGGCACAATCCTAACAAACGTTGAAGAGACCTCTTGACATCAGCTCGCACCCTCTGTACCTATTTATTCCCAAAGGAACAGGCAGTAGGGAAGGCTGCTTCACCCTAAGGATCTTTTTGGTTTGAGGGTTAGCATGTTAAGGTGGGGCAAGGAGAAGGCTACAAGGTCTCTCGGGATAGCTTTGTACTGCTGGAATGGGCTGAGAACCAGATCTGGGAGAGTCTCCATCCATACCTGGCAGGTGGGATCATGGCACAGATGCTTTGTAGTCTGTGCATTGCTTCTTTGTTAAGAAAATATTTTATTCTCTACACACTAGAGCCCAAGTGCAAACAGACGTGACTGCAGTATGAACAAGGGACCAATGCAGAGGGCATACCAGTGTAGTAATTCAGGTGCATCTCGGGTTGTTAAGGGGCAGAAACGGATGCTTTCAAGCAAATTCTCATGATCACGCAAAGTTACTAATGAGA